AACTCAAGGAACTATTAAAGATAGAAAGTAATAGTTAAAAGGTACATTAATGCAAAGGAACTCAAAACTTAAGTCTGAAATTTTTAATAGCAAAGGCAAAACCACAAATATTCATAAGTTTTATTTGTATCTATTTTCAGACAGACTTCATATATGTTTCTTAAACAAAATACTTTCAAAAGCCATTTTAAGCTATAATTTCAACCAGCAGATATTTCTGTGTTAAAAGTTTATTTGCTTATGTATCATTTTGTAAGAATACAACTTATTTAAGCATGATCCCTGTTCCTATAAAGAACCATATATTTAAATAAATATAAAACATCTACTAAAGCATATATTAATGTATAGATACAAAAACATACATGAATATTATCATAAATATTTTAGTACCTCATTATTATCACTCCTTATATTACATTATTTAAGGTAGTGATAAAGTAATCTGTATACTCTCCTCAATTCAATATAAAATCCATATTTATGTCAGGAATTATTTCATATTTAAAGGAATAGCTTTGACTATGGCATTGTTTTATATAGCTGTTTCTTTAGTTTAATAAAACAATGGGTACTTTGGTTTGGGCTTTCTCTGTAGAATTCTATACCTTTCCCCAGAAACTAGAGTGCACCTTTGTCCTTGGTAGATACTGCTTCTCAGGCTCATTATCATGTGACTATCTGAGTATTGTTTTATAAATGTCCATTTTTCAGAAGGTCACTGATTTTTTTCCTTTCCCAATAGTCAACTTTACACTAGCCATATTCATTATCATCTTGCGGCAGCACTGCTCTTCTTCTGCCTTTGCTGCTTTAAAAATTAATGCACTGTTATTTTCTGAATACTGCATAAGCTGCTTATGAGTACATTATGCTATCAAGCAAGCACATGCAGAAAAGCTCCCTAAACTGTTATTCTTTCAATGAAAATACAGCTGGTTCTGCTTCAAAGGCACATCTTTTCACCTGCAAATGGACTTGCTCCTACACTTATTCCTCAATTCATTGTCTTTTATTTGTGTCTGGAAATCTTTAATTGCCTTTAATTAGAAAAAAGTAAATTCACTGCTTTAATCTTGCAAATACATTCAATCATAA